AAGTCAGTGACAAAAAGACAATCACTAGCAAAGCTTTCGTCGCCGAGATCGAGTCTCGCCGGGCACAGCAGCAGCAGAGACGTGTCACGATCGATGCCTCCCTACCACGACCGCGTCCGGATCATCAACTTGCCTTTGCGATGGACGACATGGTGGTCTTGACAGATATTGTCAAACTCTCCCTCAGCTTCCTAGATCGCGCGCCGTACAGCAAGGGTGACTGCGATCGTATTGAGCATCTGCTGCGCACCTTCATTCCTCTCTTGATGTGTCTAGATCAGAATGAGTTCGACGACGAGATCAATGGGGGTGTGGCTGTAGACGGTCGCGACGCAGCCGCCGCGGACGACGACACTGATAGCCGCATCGACGACGATGCGCGCAGCGAAGCTTCTGACGCAGACAGCGCCGCTGCCAATGGAGCGCCATCGACTGTGAAGCGCGGAGGTAGCTCAAAGCGACACGAAGCCGACCTCCGTCGCAAGTTGCTTCGCAATCAGACCGAGACTTCTGGAGCTGCTCAGACAGGTGCTGATGCCGAGCCCATCGCCGCACGAGCTTCCAGCCCTGCCATCGCTGCAGAAGTCAAAGCAGCGGCTGAGGCTCTCGACTCTGCGACAACTCCTGTCGTAGCTGGCGCCAATGCAGAGCCGCAAGATGTCTCCATGGTTGATGCGAGCGACGACGTCGCAGAAGCCTCTACCGACAAGGCAGGTGATGCGAAGTCAGAACAGGGGCTCATTTCCAAAGATGGCCAAGCAACAGGTGGCGCAGGTGGCATCAGGTCGGACGATCCTTCTACGTGGATGGATCAGGGCTCGCTGCAAGCGTACGACTCGTCCAAAGCGAAGACGGTCCCCGCGCCAGGCCCATCTCACATCGCTCAGGCAGACAAAGGTGCTTCCTCTCGCAAGTACAACTTTTTCTGCAGCACCTCGCACTACGTTTTCATTCGTCTCTTCCAGTTGCTTTACGCAAGGCTGTCGAGGATGAAGCAGCTTGGGGAGCAGATGGCGTCGGCCCAGCCGCCAAAGAAACGACTGAATCCCGTGGCGCTCGAGCTAGGATTGCAAGACCCAACGACGGGTCCTGCGTCTGTCGTGGGCACTGCGGCAGCTTCTGCTGCTGTCAACAGAGGTAACGAAAGCACCACAGCCACCGTCAACGGCAATGAAGGTGTCAGCGATGGTCCAAACGGCGTCAGCGCTGCCGTTGAAGAAGATGGCTTGTCCCTATCACCACTGCGGTACTATGACACTTTGCTCGACTTGACCGAGAAGTTCTTCGATGCTGAGTTGGACAGGGTCACTTTTGAAGAGAGCGTGCGTTACATGTACGGCATAGAAGGCTACGTCGTCTTCACCCTCGACAAGGTTATTGGCTCGCTGGTCAAGACCGCGCAGGTCCTTGCAACAGACAGCAAGTGCCAAGAGCTACAGTCAATTTTGGAAAAGGATCGCGAAGTAGGTGCGGCCGCGGATATGAAGGCCCAAATCGCCCGTCGCATTGCTGCAGAGGCGGTGCTCGGTAAAGACGAGCACTTGTTCCGCATGGAATGGGTCAAGACCAGCAGTACGCTCCTTGTGCAGATGCTTGCGAAGGAGGACCTTACGCTCGGCGACCCGCAGACTGCCGAAGAGAGGTGGCTGCAGTACGTCTCTAGCTACGTTCTTCATGCTCCGACAGAGGGACTGTCCGTGCGCGTTCAAGCGCCCTTCTTGGTCAGATCTGTCGGCGCTCATCCTGAGGACAAGTCCGAGCCTGCCGGAGCCAGGGTGATCGCTCAAAGCGGCCTGGGCATCAAGATCTGCATTACAACTTTGCGACTGTTCTACGATGACCGTGGCTATGAAGATGTTTTTGCAAGAAGACTGCAACAACCTCAACTGGCACGACGAGACAAGGTCGCCAAGAGACAGAGAGGGGCTAGAAAGGTGAAGCTCGATTCGTGGATCTCAGATCGACTCGCAGCAATCTCCGAGGTCTCA